TGGGACACAACTGATAATTTATTCAAAAGTAAATAAAACAAAATATATAACATTATGAATACACCACATGATGGATGCACCACATGGCATAATGATATACCAGTAAATGCACTACATAATAAGATAAATGCACCACATAACATGGTAAATGCACTACATAACATGGTAAATGCACTACACAATATGGTAAATGCACTACACAACAATGTAAATGCACTACACAAAATTATGAATGCACCACATAACATGGTAAATGCACTACACAACATGGTAAATGCACTACACAACATGGTAAATGCACTACATAACATGGTAAATGCACTACACAATATGGTAAATGCACTACACAACAATGTAAATGCACTACACAAAATTATGAATGCACTACATAACATGGTAAATGCACTACACAACATGGTAAATGCACTACACAAAATTATGAATGCACTACATAACATGGTAAATGCACTACATAACAAGGTAAATGCACTACATAACATGGTAAATGCACCACATAACATGGTACATGCACTACATAACATGGTAAATGCACTACATAACAAGGTAAATGCACTACACAACATGGTAAATGCACCACATAACATGGTAAATGCACTACATAACAAGGTAAATGCACTACACAACATGGTAAATGCACCACATAATATGGTAAATGCACCACACAACATGGTAAATGCACCACATCACAAGGTAAATGCACTACACAACATGGTAAATGCACTACATAACAAGGTAAATGCACTACACAACATGGTAAATGCACTACATAACAAGGTAAATGCACTACACAACAAGGTAAATGCACTACATAACATGGTAAATGCACTACATAACATGGTAAATGCACTACATAACAAGGTAAATGCACTACATAACATGGTAAATGCACTACATAATAAGATAAATGCACTACATAACATGGTAAATGCACTACATAACAAGGTAAATGCACTTCACAACATGGTAAATGCACTACATAACAAGGTAAATGCACTACATAACATGGTAAATGCACTACATAATAAGATAAATGCACTACATAACATTGTAAATGCACTACACAACATGGTAAATGCACCACATAATATGGTAAATGCACTACATAACATTGTAAATTCACTACACAACATGATAAATGCACTACATAACATGGTAAATGCACTACACAACATGGTAAATGCACCACATAATATGGTAAATGCACCACACAACATGGTAAATGCACCACATCACAAGGTAAATGCACTGCACAACATGGTAAATGCACTACATAACAAGGTAAATGCACTACACAACATGGTAAATGCACTACATAACAAGGTAAATGCACTACACAACATGGTAAATGCACTACACAACATGGTAAATGCACCACATAATATGGTAAATGCACCACACAACATGGTAAATGCACCACATCACAAAGTAAATGCACTACACAACATAATATTTTACGACTTAAGATAGCTGTGGCTTTCCATAGAAATGACTAGAACACGGGATTGAAGACCTCAAGGGGAAATTGGACAAGACAAAAAGATAGAATTAAAACCAGCGATTGCAACCTAAATTGTTTTGAAGTGTAATCCAATAACCTGACGTAATAACGCTATCAGAAACGGTGTATAACACGTGTTGCACATACATATGATAAAGTGTTCGTTATATAAGGGTAGTATAATTTGTGGATATTGTTTCTTTTTAACAATTTCCCACCGCTGCCATCAATGTCAAGAGGTCTTTATATATTGGTATTAAATTCCAAATAATTTATACGAAGTGAATGGGATGCCACACTGTAATTGTATGAAATAAACATATATAGATCACACTTGTTGTGGGTTCTTTTCACGGGCTATATAAGCATTGGAAATCATTAAGATGGTTATCATTACAATACGACAATGTTCGGATCTCAGGCCAATAACAATTGGGCATCCAAGAACCATGGAAAATTTGTAAATAAGGTAACGAACACATTCATCATACACACACAGCAGTAAATGACACTAAATTTGAGTTAACTTCAATGTGCGTATGACATCACTTTGTTTGCACTGTTCATTTCTAATTGGTCGAAACCGACAGAATGGTGAGAAACTACCAAATAAAGTGGCTTGGTTCATTGTCATACAACTGAATGAACCCTCAAGGCAACATGAATGTTATGCAAATTAACAGAAATGCATAATCGAGTGTGTTGACTCGTCTATCCAAGTTCACCAAAGTTTATTAACCTCAAGTTCATACAGAGTGCTGGAATCACTTCGCCCTAATACATTCAAGTTCATACCACTGCAGAATCGCATCTGGCGTCATTCTGATTCTCGGAAATAATAAAGTCGTCGGTAAAATAGTAGTATTTGGAGACAAATCACACCCCAGGTATATTCTTTGTCGTCCAATCAGTCGAAGAATGTAACAATTCGTGCATGCAATATATGTATATATTTTTTCGTTATTTCTCCACCTAAAAAAAGTCACAAAATATTCCCTTTTCTATGTAAATTACGTATGTATTTAAACGCTTATAAGCCTAACAGGGAGGGCGCAATACTTGGAAATCAACTAAACTTTGGATTCCTGACAGTGTTCAATACTATGATAATAATGGACTTGAGTTGCTAATCTCCATCTAATTATACAAAACACACCTTAGTTAATCGATTTGTGCGCACAGTATTCAATACCATGATGTCAGTAGGGCAATTCATCAACTAGCCCATACTATATCAATAGATTTCAGTTCCTTGACCACTTACCATCCAATACTATGCTATCAATGAGGGTGACTTCGCTGACAATCCCACATTACAAACTATACCTATCAGGGCTAGGTGGTTGAGTACTTCAACAACCAAATAGCCAAGCAGTCAGCCACCCAATAATATGATACAAGTAAGATGTAGTTGCTTGTTCATCCCACTTTCTACAACAATTAGGCCTAGTTGGTAGAGTATCTCATCAACCAATACTAGAGATAAATGTACCTCATTCAACAGTATATTACCAATCCGTTTTAATTTCTTGGTCATATTGTTTATTATATTATACCAGTATA